ATGGAGGAAGCAGAAGCTTCAACAAACCCAAAACCAATGGCAAAGGAACCTGCTTTTTGCGAAGAGTGCAAAAATCACCCATCAAAGTACAAGTGTCCAGGTTGCTCACTCCGTTCTTGCAGTCTTCCATGTGTCAAAGCTCACAAGCAACGAACTGGCTGCAATGGAAAGAGAAACATGACCAAATTTGTTCCTCTCTCTGAGTTCGACGATAATCTCCTCATCTCTGGTACTCTCTTTCTTTAAATCTGTTTTTCTAAGTTTTATCACAATGCATTTTTGGACATTTCTTTCACCGGGGATTGAGGTTCCCTGTTGGAATTTGATGGTTTTAGTTATTATGGGATGCACTTTCTGTGTCCGTGAGAGGAATTTTAGGGGTTCCATTTGCTTTGATTAGAGTTTGATTGCCATTTCTCCCCCTCCTTCTTCTCGTTTCCAGGATGATTATTTCTTGCAGTGTGATTATAAATTGGTTAAGTAGTTAGCTGTTTACCATTGAAAATTTGATTCCTCCATAAAGTTTGGCTGTTTCTTTAGGAATTGGCAGTTGGTTTGAGTTCATAATGGATTTGTTGGCATTTTTGAATAGTTTTTATGTTGCAACCATCTCCTGCTACCGATCTTCCTCTCATTCCCCTCTTTCTCCCTTCCTTTTTCTCCAAAGTTTCCACAGTTTTGTGTGTGGAGCATACCTTTTCCATTGTTTGATAGAAGCCTTTTTGACATGCTTTTTAAAGTGTAATGAAGCATACCCTTTTTTTCCAATGTTTTTCTATTATTCTAAATGTTTTGTGGAATCCTATGAGTAGATTATAATTTGCTTGAGGAATTGAAGAGGATTGCCAAATCTGCGCAAAGAACAAGAGCTAAATTATGTGGTTATTCTCATTTTAAGTTACCTTTTGTCCTTTGAAGCCTTCGTAGTGCTGCTGCAAGTCGTGGAACAAAGCTATGGTTTCAACCAAGTGGGATGTCGAAGAGGAAAAAGAATCAAACTCGGTATAATCAAAGGTTATTGCTGCTTTTTGAAGAGCTTTACTGCCCATTATTTATTTGGCTACTTCAAATGCTGGTTCTATTCTTCAAACAGTATCTATATTTTGCTATCTTAAATGTGGAATCATACCATTTGACATCTAACTTATCCCCTTGTTAAACCTTCAAGAACTGTTCCATGAATTTGAAAAAGTGAATTCTTCAAATTAATAGATGTATTAGCATGGGATAAACTATTTTGGCCATCACTAGATTCAAGAAGCTTTAGTGTTGTGAGATGAAGGCTTTCCTCTTGAGCAAACAATTCTTTAATAGGTGCTATTTTTCCTTTCTGCCACAGGGAGAAGTTCATCTCATGGACAATTGAGTGGCGATTTCACTCAACAGATGTGGTTATAGTTGATCATGGGTAAGCTGTCCTACCACTTCTTTTTCTTCAGCAAAACTATTGTCTTCAAGTGGCTATTATTTTTTTATTTTTTATTTAAAAAATGTGGTTATTATTCCATTCAGCAATCCTGCGATTGTTTGATCCCTTACTTCATAGCTGGCAAATATTAGTTTACAACTAATGAATTTTTGTTGTCTCAGAGTGAACGAAGAGAGGAACGTCTGCTCTGTAATTGAGAACCATTGGAAACCTGGCCCATGGATTCACCAGCTAAGGCATTTCTCTGAGGAGCAGTTGGAAAATCTCAAGTTTTTCATCCAAAAGTATCCAAAGGTGGTTTATTGTTGTTTTCTTTTTTTATTTCTTAATATGGATGTGGTTTTCATCTTTTCTTCCTGGTCATATGGATGCTAGTTGGTCCTTGGATGTTTATTTTCGATTTTCAGAAAAGCATTTAGACCCAAAGTAAGTAGAGAAAACAAAATCTTGATTTCAGATGTCCATTACCTTGTATAATTAT